CCTGCTCGGCAGGGAGCCTGCTTCTCCCTCTGACCCTCCCCCCTCTCGTGTGCTCTCTGTCTCTCTCATTCTCTCTGTCTCAAATAAATAAATAATAAAAATCTAAAAAAAAAAAAAGAATACACTTGTTTCAACATGTGATTGTATTCAGCAGTGATTATTTTGCTAACATTAAATAAATGACAACCAAAAAGAGCCATTCACCGTGATTCATTTGTTGCTCAGAATGGTTCAGATCTGTGGTCACAGCCTGGAAATCGTGGCTTTTAATAGCACGCTCCACCAGGTCCCAGCAGCAGGCTGACAACGGAAAAGCCCAATCACGTGCTTCTTCAGATGGTCTGACATCAAATAGTCACGGCTCATATGTCCTCTGCACTTGGGAAAGGACTCCTGGCTCTTCAAGGATCGTAGGGTTTCATTTGACCCTTCACTTTGCTGCCTTGAAGGTAATAGGACTGGGTGGGGGGAGGCGAAGACCAGAACACCTCATTTTAAAACTTTCACCCCAGAGCTGTTTCTCTGTCCTAACACCTGGGTTTAGTGATACACTGAGACCGTGAGTGCCTGCTTCAATAGGACACGTTATCAGTTTGAGAGAAAATGTTTTGAACTAGGGTCCGGCCTACAGTTGAGGTTGGGAGGACGATGTTATTTACTTTCCAGAGGAAAGCTATCTACTTTAGATTAAAGAAGAATTAGCATTATCTGCTTTGATTCTGACATCAGAAGTGCAGATATTTGGAAAGTGCTTTAAAGCAACTTTGATTATAAGTGACAGTGTAAACTTCTAAACTGATATCTTGACTTAAAAACATTAGTTCTATTTTAGCGGTGGGCCCAAACCTTTTTTTTCTTTAAATAAAGTAGTGCTCGCAGGCAAGAATGAGTAAAATCTTAAGTTTTTCAAGTCTTAAAAAAATCTCCTCTCCTCTGTAAAGACAAACTTCCAACCATATTATGGTGTTACCCATTATACCTCTGTCAGACTCCCTTATCCTGATATTACTCTGCCATGGGAAAAAAAAAAAATCCCAGAATGGACTTTTCTAGCAATAAGTATATGATTCTATCCCCACAATTAAGGGAGCCAGGATAGCTCAGATATCAAGACTGAGGTTTCTAAAAAATTTGTTCTAAAAGGAGTATGTGCTCATTCAATAAGCTTTTTGGGTTGCGACCATATATACAATTAGTATTGTATATATTACTGTTACTAATACCACTATTACTATGAAACTATATTCATATCCAGGTCCCGTGTCCAGAAACAGCAACACATATATTTAAATACTTTAACTAGAAGACTAGTATTCATTAGACACCTTGATCTTAACATGAATCTGAAGTATTTTTTTCAAAGCTATGCTGCCATGACAACCAATCTGATAGAAAAGTGGAGAAAAAGTTTCAAATATCGGCTCTTTTAAGAATACAACAACAACAAAAGTTCCCAGTAGCTGCCTAAGTGTTTTCAGGGGTGGGGAGATTTAAATATTCAAATGTGTATAGCCCCTAAGTTTTCAAATGCTTCTATTAATACGGTATAAAGCCACAACTCAGGGCCACTGAGTACGAATTGGAACTCGAGGCGGGGGATCCCCCAGACGTAGCTCTCCTCCTGCACACACATGCATTCAGCGAAGGCAAAGTGATGAAAAATCCCTAGGTCCCCTTCCTGGCTGTGGGACCCCAGTAACCTTCCAGATTCCTCTCTCCTCTTGGCAGCCCTGCCTGGACCCCAGGCTGCAGAATGTCTGAAGAACTGCTTTGGCAGAAAATATATACTTAAAGGCGTTCAGGTGCAAGTGCAGCTGGATTTTTCTCCTGGTGTCCAAGGGGACCCGATCACATCCTTTAAAACTGTATTAGGGAAAGAACAGTTTACGAACTGCTTTTGGGGAGGGCCCCTTAATTTTATGCTGTTCTCACCCTTCCCCTCGACCAAACACTCAAACCGTATCAATTATTCGTTCTCAGTGTGGAACAAAACAAAAGATAACAAACAGCCCCCGGTGAATAAGCCCAACAGTCAGGCTCACTTTGTATCCTAGATCAGGGGTGGGCAAACTTTCGCTGTAAAGGGCCAGAGGGTCTGGTGTTTTAGGGGCCCCTACTCAACTTTTTTGCAATGACTCAGCCTTGCTTTTGTAGCGCGGGAGTAGTTACGAACTAGGATACAGAAGCAGATGGCGAGCGGCTGCATTCCAGCACAACTTACAGAAAGCCGCCGTGGGCGTGCGCGGTCTCAGGGCCATGGGCTGTCCATCCCCGTTGTAGACAGCAAGGCGCTCTCCCGAAAACTGCCCAGTGCTCCCCGTGGCGCTAGCCACGTTCATGCCTACTTACACAAGATTTCGTTCTCTGAGAGCAGAGGCGTGGCTGTGGAAGCAGCAGCCCGGGGCACCTGAGGAGGCAACGTTTATCCACAGCTGCAAATCAGCATGATCAGAGCCGGACAGGAGCCTGGAAGGGCCTGTTTCTGTTTCATTAGCAAACCCGAGCGTGTAGCTGTGCCTGGCTTTTGCTAATCCTGGAGCAGCAATCAGGAGCTGAGGCTAATGGTCATTCTTGTGCCGGGGTGGCAGGTGCGGAGGCAGGGAAAGGCAATAAATTATCAGCAGTCTGGTCCCTCCGCAGCCTGAAAGGGTCCACATGGCTTCCCAAGGCCCTGAAAACAAGTCAGTACTCAGGAATTCACTGCTCAAGTAATTGGGCTTAGAAATTCGGAGGTAAATTTGCTCAGCACGTGGCTAAATACCCACAAACCAAAACCAAATGTAGAACAGTTGTGAGAATAGCAACAGCCAAGAATCACAGAGTTTCCTGCAGGTAGAGGAGTTCTTGCCAATCATCTTCACCAGCCCTTTCATATTACCGGTCGGGAAAACAAGGCCCAAAGAGGGAGGGGTAACTTGCCCAGCTAGTCTGTGGAGAAATCACCAGATCTCAGCCACTTTGACTTCGACTTTGCTATTTTCCCTGAAGGAATCTGAACTTAAGGGGGGGTTCCCTGACCATATCAACACTCGTGTCATGAGATTATGACAGCTAAATACCTGGTTACCCTAGAGACAAGATTTATGTTGGGATATAAATGATGCCAGAGAACATCTGAAAGTTGTTGAGGGGGAGCAATGCATCTCCTCACTGGTTTAATGTAGATAACAAAAACTGCACAGGATAAAGCATTAAATGGCCATCTTCCCACGAATATAAACGCTGGTCTCTCATATTGTATGATAACATGGCAAGAACAGACTGGGAAGTTCTTAAATCAAAGTTAGCATTGATCTGTTTCCCTCCTAACAAATCAAAAGCAAATGTTATCCTCATATCTTTGGTGTCTGTGACATAAAGGATCCCTCGGGCAATGAAGGCGTTGCCGGCCTTGGTTTTGGGGTACGTGGTATTGATGTGCTGCCCCACAGAGAATGTCCTCTCATCCAACTGGGCGACAAGAATGCTCGAGCCATCCACACTTGAAGCATAGATAATCCAAAGGCCCTTTTCATCCACAGCTAAATTGAAGTAAGTCTTGGAATTTGCAAAGAGGTACTTTCGATCAAAATACAGGGCATTTTCAAGCTTCAGAGTTTGGGATGTTTCCTTGCCAAAATCAAATCTGAAATGTGTAAAAAGGCAGATATGAGTCAGCATTTTTGTGGACAATGGTGGCTTTGTGGCTATCCTCTATTAAACTGGGTGGGTCCTGGGACTCTGCATTTCTAAGTTCTAGGTCATGCCCGTTATACTGGTCTACCCACAATGCTCTGTGCATCAAGGATGTCAAGGATGGTGATTCCATCTGAGTGTCCCCCTGTGAGCCACGGGACCCCAGGAACATTCCTTACCCTCATGACTCTTCAGGTGTTTGCTAACCTCCTGAAATGCCCCCTCTAAGATTCTTAGACCTGCAGGGGGCCTTAAAAAATGAGCTAGTCCAGTCTTTTCATTTTACAAATGAGAAAGGAGAAGTGACTGGCCCGGGAACATAAGTAGCCAGAGTTTGAATTTAAGTTTTCTGACTGCATGTTTGGGGGTTCTTCCTCTACCCCCTGCTGGAGTTCTTAAGACAAACATGTCACAGCGGTCTAAATGAAGCAGGAAGTCGGCAGCTGAGAAGAGATGTAGCCAAGTCACGGCCCTGAAGTCAGTTTTCTCGTCAGGAAAGTGATTGGATAACTTGAGCTACAGCACGGAGTCCCTTGCCCTCGGCTCCTGGAGGCTGTCTGATTTGGCAGACTCCACACCCAGACCAGATCAGAAAAGTTGATTGTGATTCAAAAGTTACCTAACTCCAGGAATGAAAATTCGGGAACATTAGGCTAAAAGAAAAGAAGAACACAAGAGGGTGCCATTGAGCAGCAGAAGAAATGGGGACAGTGGGGCCGTGGGTGTGCACTGGAGCCTCACAAGCTGGAAGCCTTTTAGGAGACCCTGAAGTAAGTGTGAAAAAAAGCCAGAGGCAAGTGAGGGCTTGAGAAGAGCCTGCCTGCCCAGCTCAGCTCACGGGCTTCTCCGTCCTCTGAATGCCTGGAGGTCAGGACGGCCATTGCTCTGGTATTGGTGCCTGGCGGTTGTTTCTCGAAGGGGCTCGTCTCTTGCAGGAGAAACAGGGTCTAATTCCAGCCTGACCCCCTGACCCCCTACTTGTGGCTGGTGGAGAGCAGGGCTGCAGGACAGACCTAAGCAGGGCATCACCTATGCTAAGCTTCATTAGAAGCCACTCTTTCTTAGAGTGGCCGATCCTCTTTCTGGGGCTCATGCACCCCAGAACTCCCTTGCCACCCTCATCCCTATGTAAACACAGCCCGGCGGCAATAGGGAGCTGCAGGATTACATGAAGAGAAAGGGCACAGGAAGGAGTGTGTCTGGGGAGTTCTGGCTTCTAAACAGGGAGTGGGTTGGTTGCTGTTTTCTGTTAGCACAAGACTGTCCAAATGAGGTAGCCAGGGAGATGTTGAAATGATGGGGGAGCTGGGAGAGGGGAATGAGAGGCCAAGAGGGGAGATGATTCCAGCCACAGCTGATGTGTGTCCCGTCCCCAGCCTAACCCACCGTCCAATGCCAACAAGGTTGTTGTGGCTGGGCCTCAGTGGGGAAGGGGGTGGAGGGTGAGAGAAGAGGGACCCAGTTTTCCTGCAGGTCCTTATCTCTTATTTTGAATGACTCGGACCATGGCTTTCATAATACTGGCATTATTTCAGATAGGGCTGCTGCTGGAGGGCTGCAGAGGCTCTGGTCCATCTTCTCACTCTTACTGAGGACCTGCAGACCACGGGAGGTGGTGTCTTGTCCAAGGCCATGGAGTGAGTAGGCAAAGTTGGAACCTGACTGAGGTCCCTGCTTTCTTGATTTGCCCAAGATGACATGTTTCTGCCTCTAAAGCCCAGAACTTGGTATCTTCTTAAGCCACAAAGACAGAATTTTAGCAGTTCTTTTGGGGAGCCAGGAAGACATGGCTCAGTCTACCCAGGTGGCCACCTCCCTACCCCTTGGGAGAGCAAAGAGGAAGAGAGGTGGCCTGGCCAGGGCTCCATTAGGACGACAGATCAATCTGAACACAAAGGCACCTGACTTTGGGGCACCTGGGTGGCTCAGATGGTAAGGTGTCTGCCTTCGGCTCGGGTCATGATCCCAGGGTCCTGGGATCGGGCCCCACACTGGGCTCCTGGCTCAGCAGGGAGCCTGCTTCTCCCTCTCCCTCTGCCTCTCTCCCTGCTCATGCTCTCTCTCTCTCTCTGTATCTCTGTGTCTCAAATGAATAAATAAAATCTTTAAAAGAAAAAAGGCACCTGACTTTGCACTGTGTTCAGTCTTTAGTCTTCAATGATCTGAGCTGTGAGGTGGAATTCTTCACACCTCAAGTTCTTCAGAATACAACCGACTTTGGGGGGTGACACCTTCCTGACAGGGGAGCGCTAGGTTCCGCCTGCCTCTTTTTTCAAAGGATAAGAAAGTGGCAACCCTTATCATGCCAGATCTACTTCTCTCTGGCTCTGACCTTACTCTTGGTGTCCCCACCAGCAATACGGCAGACCCCAGGCCGGGGCTGGGTCATGTGGCTCACTCACTGTGTCCTATGGTTCATTCAGTCAGCAAACCCTGACTGGCCCCTGTGAGCCAGGCTCTGGGGACAGAAAGATCCCTATCCCTAAGTAGCTCTCAGTTAACTGAAACACCACACAGGTGCTGTCTGTGATGAGGAGGGCAGCGGCGGCCCGAGGAACTCACCTCACTATGGTGTTGGAGCCTCCTTTGTGGTAGTAGAGAGAGTTGTTGTGAACGGCATGCCCACAGCCATGGAAATAATACGGCAGGTGCAGGAGTGTGTAACTGCCATTCAGCAGTGAGGGTTGGTCTTTGAATTCCTTCACCCTGATGCCTGCAGGGGAGAAGCCAGGGACAGGCGTGGGAGTGAGTCAGGGGAGGGAGTTAAAAGGACGGAAGTTGAGAGTGAGGGGTCTTGCAAGGGTCCGTGTCCAGGTTGGAGTCTCAGACTCCCAGACTCCAAGGCCAATTCTCTTCTCTGGATTCCTGAACTGACCTTCCAAGGCAGAAGCCACAGAGTTGGTTTTGCTCCTCCCAGGACAACTGCATTGCTCCCTCCCAGACCACTCTAGACTGTTTATAAAATCTTCTATCAGACCGACAGAGGCCTGTACCGGGAACAGCGAATACTTGGCCCTTGTGCAGTCTCCTCTCCCTGTCCTGCCACTGCTAACTGACTGGTCCTCCTTCCTTCTGAGCCACAGAGTCCTTCTCAGCTGTTAATCTAGGCAGTCACTGAGCCCTGAGGAAATGAGGCAGTGTCTCAGCAATCGCTCTGACCAGTGAGTATGGCCGGACCCCTTCTGGAATGAGGCTGCTACTACCACTGCTGGGAACCCCTGACCAGTCCGTCCGGGGCCGCATAAGCGGGGTCATGCTTGGAGGCAGTATGCCTGCCAGAGGGCACCTCACCTTCTCTCCTGGGCTCTCTGTCCAACAGAGCTCGAAGAAAGATGGACAGTGCACAAGAACTTGTCTCTGGCATTGATTCCACAGTATGGCTTCGGGCTTTATAATGCTGTCATCGTAATGCTATTTGTCTCTTTCTGGGTACTTTGCCTAAAACTGGATAAACTATATTGGGAGCACCCTGGTCCTGCCCCTGGGACCTGACCTGCAAGGTTTGTCCCCTGTGGGCTCAACTGAGAAAAGTGTGCTGCCTGCTCATTTGTGCTTTGGAAACCAAAGAGCAGTTGCGTGACACCAGTCAGCGCGGGTTTCAGACACGCAGACATAGAATGAGCCCGAAGGCAGGCACCCAACGGAGGGCACAACCCCCATGCAGATCTGCCTCCTTGTCAAGGGAAGGTACCTGAGAAATGTTCCGTCACCCAGATCCGCTCATCACTCTTGTTTGCAGACTCTCTTATCCATGTCCCAAATGTCTCTTTAACTTTCAGGACTTGCGTTGGACTTCCGATGGAAGCGATCACGGATTCTACCAAAGGAAGAGAAAGGAAAATCACTCATCTACCAGCTATGGCTTTAAGGCATCCAGTTTCTGAATTTCAAAACAAGACACTTTGCTTCATGTACCTGCTGGTGGAGAATGGTGATCCCCAACCTTCTCATCAGCCTTTCCAACCAACGTACCATCATTCGGTGTAGCGCATGTCTCACCTACAACAGCGATGACAATCATCAAAAGAAATGGAGGTGGCACAGTGAGATTCATGTAGCTTTATAACTGGCACTTTCCCCACTTCCCCCCAGGCTCTAGTCCTATAAGCATCCCTTACAATAGGCCCACCATGTTTTTTAGTTGCTTGCTTTTAAGCAACAAGTCAAATACTTCCAATTCCCCCCAACCCCACTCCACCCCCACCCTCCACTTGGGGAGTTCCCAACAAGCTTTCCATAATCACAGTTGCTAAAATAATGCAATCCCAAGAGGAGGTCAGTCAAAGGGAAAAAGTGGCCTGTTCAAGCCTTCAGCATTCTGGGATGGGGGGAGTGGAGAGCCGTACTGACACTTTCCTGGCCCCCCAGGCCAGGTGGTATCACTATCATGGATTGTATTTTCTTGGAAGGATTAACACTTTCAGGGAAGCTGATGGGGCCTCATGATAGGGTGGCCTCCTTTACCTTGTCTTCCTGGACTGCAAAGGGAGGAACCACAGAGGAAGAAGGAGCCCAGAGATGTTTGAACTCCTCTCCACCATTTCCCACCTGTGTTGGCTTTAAGGTCTGTGGGACATGGGTCCTGAAGAGGTGCCTGCTTCACAGTTGGTTTGAGGCTATACCTGAGCTAGAAGTCATCCTACCTGGGTTGTAATTGTTCCCTTCAACAGATGGGCTTAATTCAGACCTTTGGTGAAGAGGTGTCTCGGGTTGGCAGAAGCAGGACAGAGGGGAGGAAGGTGGCCAGTGTGAAGACACAGAGAGTGGACTGGCTGGGGAGAAGGACTGGGGCAAATCAAGCTTTCTGGAGTTCAGCCCACTTGCCTAGACCAGTTCTGAAGGATTCAAATCACCTGTGAGTTAGGTGTTAGGGACACATCCATTGTCCCAAGGGAAGCTCACAGAATAATCTATCAGTAAAATAAAGGGCAGGACCCCCTGTACTCTATGAGCCTGTGTTTCCCAGAAGTCCTCTTGTCCCCTGATGAGAGCAGTCTTGGGGACAGTGTGATTACTCCCCCACATGCAATCCTGCTGCCTTGGAGTTTCATCTGGAGTTTCTGTTCAGGAACGTGGGTTTTGCCAGGAAAGGGACAGAGAGACCCTCCTGTTCTTAGTCTGAAGAAAAGGCTCTCATTAATTCGTGTTGTACCAACCTGCTTCTAAAGCTGTGGGGGCGGGAGGGGGCTTAAAGAAATGGAATTGGGAGGCGAGAAGGCCAAGTTCAGATGCAGGATGCCTGGCAACCGAGGACCCATTTCTAGGAGGCAGAGTGGAAGATTACGGCTTCTCATTTTTTTGGTTTTTTTTTTTTAATTTTTTATTGTTATGTTAATCCCCATACATTACATCATTAGTTTTAGATGTAGTGTTCCTTGTACGGCTTCTCATTTAAAGCAGTTTTCACAACACTGAGGCCCAGCCCCTGCTAACCAGCCTCTTAGTAGGCAGGCAAGCGGGGGCAGGCGCCTCTCCAAGCACCCGTGTCCTGGCTGACACAGCCTATGGCAAACTGGGACTCTGCAAACGCTCAGGTCAGATTCCCCCTCTTCTCCCGGGGAAGGTTCCCGCTCAGCTCATTCTCCAAGGGCAGCTGAACAAAGAGCTGCCACTAATGGAGGGGGCGGTGCTGAATGCCAGTGAAGGGGCAGGGTGCTAACTGCTGGGCAGAATTATAATCAGGCTCCACTGACTGGGGGGTGGGGTAGGGTGACATCTTTGGAAGCACAGATTCGCCCACTCTGACGGCTGAGTGTGCCCCCAAAATGTCTTCCCGAAAGAAGAGGGCACCTAACAAAATGAAAGACCAATTAGGGAAGTGGCAGTGAAATCCCCAGCAAGTGTGAAAGAAACTCCAGGCAGGATCCTCCTCCTCTCTGCTTCCCACTGAAGTCATGGTATCAAGTTGTACCTTCTCCTGGTCTTAGCAGGTGAGTGGGTCCTAGGTCACCTCTCTGGGGAGAAGTTCTAGCCACACCTCAGAAGTATTTTTCATTAATATGGCCCTTCATTTGTAATTAGCTTTCAGCCCCATGGCCACCTCTGTCACCGACTGGCCCACAAACAAGTCCTCTTGGCCTCTCAGAGATCAGGCGTCCCTTGCCCTTGGTTCGCTTAGTCTCAAAGTGTGAATTTCCATCTCTGAAAAGAAGATGCTCTAAGAGCAGAGCTTTAGAGCCAGGCAGACGTGAATCCCAGCTCTGTCATTTACTAACTGAGTGACCTTGGGCAAGCTACAGCGCTCCTTGGTGTTTCAGTTTGGGTTCTGTAAGTTGGTGGCAATACCAATTCCCATGTCGTGGCATTGCTGTGAGCATCCAGCGAACTAAGCACTTAGCGCCGTGCCCCGCACGTGGTCAGCACGCAAAGCATAGTGGTGGTGAGGGCAGAACCGTAGTTCCGTGGGGAGGTTGCCAAGCTGAACCTCCCCCTCGTCTTCCCAGCATTAGCCAAGCTCTTCATGCTCCCAGAGTGAATGACTTAGTCTTTGAGCCTGTTTCAGGGGAGAGGGATGGTGGTTTGGCAAGGAAGAGGAATAGTCTGGGGATAAATGAGAGGAGGGTGAGGAGGGGAGGGTATGGGAGGCCCAATTCTAAACCTGCTATAAGTTCTCACCCCCAGGGCAGAGTGCCCAAGCAGCCCACTGGCCTGGTGCAAGGGAGAACTCTCGGTTTAGGCAAAATCTCCCTCCGTTTAAGAAATCTGGTTGTGAAGCCTGAGAGTTTAGGATCATTAGCCAAAGAGGTAGGATCCCTGGGGCAGGGGCTGGTGACCTGCACACTGGCCATTGAACATGTTTTGCTGCCGAGGGCCTTTAGATCTTCTGCTTCCGGGGGGTCCTGGGGGACCTGGAGGGCCCGGAGGTCCAGGGGGGCCAGGCGGGCCTTGGTCACCTTTGGCACCTGGAGAGAGAGAAGGGGGGTGGGGGTGAGAGATCGATTCAAGAGCCATAAACAGAGATGGGTTTCTCCCAGGGGAAAGGAGAATGAGCAGCTCCAGGGAGGATGGCTGAGCCCCCCTTCCCAGACATAACTGTATTCTAGCACTCGTCCATGCAAAGTTGAGGATGCACCCATAGCAGACGTTGAGTTCCAACCCTGTGCCAGGAACTGTGCTAAGAATTTTACAAATCTCCCACCCATTGTTCTTCCCAACCATTCTGTGAGGTGGTATTAGTAGCCCGTCGGTGACCCGAGCCTTGGGGAAGTTCAGTGCTTTGCCCGAGGTCACCACGGGGAACAAGGCTGTGTCTCAGGTGTCTCACGGCAAAGCTCACGCTCATTTCACTGCCATGTTGAAGGATCTCAACCCTGACTACTTATTTGAGTACCCAAGGAGCCCTCATACAATTCTAGTGCTGGGGCCCCACACAGAACAATTAGGTCAAAATGGTGGTGAGACTGGTCGTCTGTATTTTTGAAAGCCTCCTCATACGCTGCCAGGTATGAGAAGCACCGCTCTGTGTGGTAGAAGAGATCAGGGGAGCCGGCCCAGCCTATGACCTTGGGCAGGCAGCTTAACCCTCCGATCCTGTTTCTTCATTTCCAGACTGAGTCTCATCCATCCTGTCTTGCCCTGGGAGTATCCACTGAGGTCACTGGCGTGAGTGCTCTAACTTTAGATGGTCAATGGGCATGGGTACAGTCCTTTCCATGTGCTATTGTCTGGAGCATTCACAAGGATGCCATGAGGCTGGGCCATTTAGCCCTTTGGTTCTACCCACCTGTCCTGAGCTGACTGGTGATCTCAGACCTTATTAGCTGCCTCTTCCCAGCCAGACCAAATAAGCCTTTCCAGTCTCTCTAGAATGGGCAAGCCGGGGTCACAGAGGCCAGAGGCAAGTCCAAGCCCATTCTGAAAGGGGCAGACATCTATAGGCAGGGCATATATGATCCACTCTCATATGCCTTGTTTGCTCTCTGGCCTAGGGACACCGAGCTCTGCCTGCTCTCTGGAGTTGGGGTACACTCAAGGATGTTGCTTTCCTGAATGGTTTGTCAACACCCCTCACCTGTTCGGTAGTGTAGAGGAGTGCAGTATTTGGGATGTGTAGATTCCTATATAACTGAAGTATAACATGGTCTCGTATTTTCAAAGTATATTCACCTATATTTGATGCTGTCAAAAGACTTCTTAAATTTTATGTATTTTGCATAGCAACTTCCCTGTTTCAGAAACAAAGCATGCTAAACATAATTTGAGCTTTGGTCTTAGCACAGTACCTGGCAAACAGTAGGTGCTCAACACATTTTGAGTGGCTAGATGGGCGACTGCTTCAGGGTCATTGTTCTTTTTTTTTTTTAAGATTTTTTTTTAAATTTTTATTTGACAGAGAGAGAGACAGCGAGAGAGAGAACACAGCAGGGGGAGTGGGAGAGGGAGAAGCAGGTTTCCCACGGAGCAGGGAGCCCGATGCAGGGCTCGATCCCAGGACCCTGGGATCATGACCTGAGCTGAAGGCAGACCCTTAATGACTGAGCCACCCAGGCGCCCCTAGAGTTCTTGACCATTTATCATCCTAGCTTCTTCAGGACAGATGTCCTGTCTCACTCACTTTCATCTTCATATTCCCAGCTACTAGCAAAGTTGCTAATTCATAAATGGTGTTCTTTGACATTCAAAAATATTTATTGAATACATAAGGATAGTTATATTTTTATGATATGAGTGGTCTCTGAAGTACTGTGCTTATAAAATTCGTCTGCCCCTTCCTCGTCCATGACCATCAGCTGTCACCTACTCTTTCCACTGTGTCTTTCTGTGGTTTGCTATCTCTACACCCCCTGGCCCCTCCCAGGTGCCAACTGTCTGCTCTGAGCCTGGGCTGGAAACCAGAAAAAGGAGATCAGCTACCATGTCTGCTCCAATTCTGTGTCAAAAGGCTTAGGATAAAGATCTGAAGATGACCCTACCTGGACTGTGAAGAAAATGTCTGAGCTTTCTGTCAGTTGTCCTCTGAAGTATCTTAAATTGCTTGCTTACTTGTCTTGTTCTAGATTGTGCTAGATTTAATAGATATTTGGAAAAAGGAAGTTCCCTTCATCGTCATTCAATCTAACCATGATGTTTGGACTGGAATTATCTAAACTACTTATGCTTACATCTGAGATTTGGTCTCGCCAACATTGTGATAACATGCATGGTTTTCTCCTTTTTGAAAGCACAGAACCCTAAGACATGCTGCAAAGCAGATGGGCACATAAAGCAGATAAGGAGAGAAGACCCAAGCCAAGCTGCCTTTGTCCTAAAAACCAGGCCAGTTTCTGGGCCCAAGTGCCAGCCACTTACCTGTGGGGAGCACATCATTGGACACGTCTCCTTTGTCTCCTTTGTCACCCTTTGGCCCTGCTGGGCCCTCATTTCCAGTCAAGCCCAGCTCACCAGGGTCTCCCTTCTCCCCTGGAGTTCCTGTGGCTCCAGGCAGCCCTGAGGGGAGGAAAATGATTTATTAGCCTATAGTGCAAGAAATTCTGGTACACCACTTTGTAATATTGTACACTGTACTTTTAGGGTGAAGGACTTTCAACAACCAAATACCTAAGTCTTTTTTGCTGACATTTTAGGTCAGCAGCGTGATATAAACTCATTAAAGACTAGTATTTCCAGGTGGCTCTTCTGAATATTTTAGGGACCTTCGGCTGGGCCAACAGGTTGGAGAGGAGTGGACCAGAAAAGGGGCAATCGCAGCAAGAGCGGAAGGAAGGTAAGGCCTGACCCGAAGTTTGCCACGTAGGAAGGACAGAGCGCACAGAGGGGTCTGTGGGGCATCCGGAAGGGTGGGTGTTGTCCCCTGCCTTCTTGGTTTCTTCCTCACAACATACTGGACCAGTAGGCTGCTCGGTCATCCTTACTCTTATTGTAGAAAAGCTGGAGCTCAGGTTTACCGTGGTCATCACTGAGGCCACTAAGTGAGCAGCAGAGATCTGATTCTATGACATTCCAGGGCAAAATGCTTTTCATCAAAAGAGCAAAATGGGTAAGTTGCTCTAGCATAAGCGTTAAGAGGGATGGTGATAGCGTGGATAAAATGCAGTAAGTGGACTGTCTGCCTCTGTTCCCGGGGAGCCATAACTCCAGGAACTGCGGACCCACCCCTGTCAGCTAGACATGGGTAAGAGTCTAGGCAATGGCCCCTCTCAGCATGCATTATGGACCACACAGCATTCTGATCCCCGGGAGGAAGGAAGCAAATGAGGTGCATGATACAATTGCCCTGGTCACTGCTGGCAGGTAGTTTCCAGACAGAAGCAGAAGGAGTGGTGCCCAAATAGAGCCTCGTCATTTCACTGAGGTGAGGAGACCAAAGCCGGAGTCTGGGGAGGTAGAGGTGGCTAGGGTTCATGAGGCAGAAGGAGGTGGTTGTGCAGACGGAGCTCTGGAGAACTTCAGAGGGGTCTCCTTGGGTCTTTGGCTGAGTAATGACCTGCAGGGTGAAACTCTACGAGGCAGGGCAAGAACAAACAGGAAGTTCACTACACAACTCTCAGTGCTTGCCCAGGGTAAGGGCTTCATTCCCACCAGGCAAAGCAGGGAGATCTCAGAAAATGATGCGATATTGGGTAAAATCCTTGGAAAAGTCTTGTCTCAGCAGTGAGGCTAAATTAGCCCAAGAGTCAAGGCTGCTGTGGATCCGTTATAAATAAGCTTAAAAACCAGCTTCGGAAGTATTAAACAGCTGGGAGTAGTCACTGCCAGAATAGAGTCCACGATTTGAATCGTTTAGTGAATGTAATGCAGCACAGTAACAGTTTAAGAAAGGAAAGGATCGTATCATCTCAGCCGATGCAGAAAAGGCATGTGATAAAATTTAACACCTATTCTTTTTTTTTTTTTAAGAGAGAGAGAGCACAAGTAGGGGGAGCAGCAGAGGGAGAGGGAAAAGTAGGCTCCCTGCTCAGTAACACCCATTCTTAATAAGAATTCTCATCAAACAAAGAATAGGAAGAAACGTCAATCTGAAAAGGGACCTCTATAAAAATACCTATAGCTAAGCTCCTCCTTAGTGATGAAAGACTAACTGATTTCTCCCTAAGATCAGGAACAAGACAAGGGCATCAATATTCATCACTTTTATTTCACATGATACCAGAGGTCCCAACTAGTGCAATAAAGAAAAAGAAAGAAAGAAAAGAAAGATTGGAAAGGATGGATTCAAATTGTCTTTATTTGCAGATAGCTGATTGTTTTGTAGAAAATCTCATGGAACCTATAAAAAAGCTACTAGAACTCCTGACCACTCAGGGACCCTGGGGCCCTGAGAAGGAAAGGGATTGCCTAATATTGGGCAGAGGTATTGTCAGATATGAATCTATTAACACAGTCCCCTATCTGCAGGACCTACATGCTCATTCTCACAACAGCTTCCTGGAGATATTGCTCAAAGTGGCAGAGATTTCAGGCAGCAAGGAAGAGCCAGAGGCATGTTTTAGTGCAAAACAGACCTTTAGTTCCTCTCAACTTCTATGACCAAGAGGGCTTAGGATCCATTCATTTTCTTTTCTAATTACCCTGCCAGTCCCCAAGCCACTGCCTTTTTTTTTTTTTAAAGATATTTCTTTATTTATTTGAGAGAGAGAGGAGGGGCAGAGGGGGACAGAGAGGAAGAGGGAAAGAATCTCAAGCAGACTCTGCGCTGAGCTTGGAGCCCAACGTGGGGCTCGATAACACCACCCTGAGATCATGACCTGAGCTGAAACCAAGAGTCAGAGGCTTATCCGACTGAACACCCAGGAGTGCCCTTGCCCCGGCCATGTTCCTTCTTACAGGCTCTGGCTAAGTGAGTGCCCACAGCCCCTCTCTTACGCTCATCGACTTGGCCAGTCCCTACTCCCTGTCATCTTTTCAGCCTTGCGATTGTCCTCCCTCTAGATTAACAGTTGAGATTTTAAGATCTGGAACCCCCCCCCCCCAGCCCTGCTTCCTACCAGCCCCATAGGATTCCAAAATCACTGTCCCAAGAGAATCTGAGAATTCAGGATTGGAAGGCAACTTGGAGGTCATTCAGATTAAACTCACGTCCCAGCCCAGAAGCCTCTCTATGCTGCCTGACGGCTCTTCTCAAGTCCTGTCCGCAGTGGGGAGGGAGGTTATTACATCCCATCACATCACAGATCATACCAGAAGATTCTGCATTGCCACCAGAGGCAATATTCCCTAAAACCTACACCTGGAGCTCTCAGCACCTTTCCTTCATGCCGGGGAAGTGATACACACTCAGTGTGGCATTTGCTCTTCCCAATTCAAGGGGCCGTACCTGGACCACCCCAGGAGGACAGCAGTGTCCTCAAGAACCTTCAAATGTTGATCACTGTTCGACAACGTGGCGCACAAAGTCGTGTTTGCCAGATTGCCGCCAACCATAAAAACCGCATCTTCATGACAACCATGACATTCAGCCCTTGCGGGGGAGTGAGAGGGCGGCGCGCGCCGACGGAGGGACTGGGGACCCGGTGGGAGAGGAGCGGAGAGGAGCAGGCCAGCCCCTCCGCTCCGCGGGGGCCCGTGCTGGGCATGGTGCAGTCACACAGATGGCAAACCACGCCTGTGGGCAGGGGGCAGACCTCCCTCGCAGCGGCACCCAAGCCCCGTGGCCGTGGCTCACCCCTGCCCACGGCTGTTAGGACAGCTTGCTGGAAAGTGGCTCACTCACTCAAGAAGAGCCCTTAATCAGGGGCCTCTGCATAGGAAGACGTCCTTTTGTTGGGATTTTAAATAGGCAATTTGGCACATTATCTGCAGGACACAAAAGACGAGAACGTTGCCATAGAGTCGGGCCCGCACAATGCGCGGAGGATAACCGATACCTTCTAAAGGTTTCACATGACCCGTATTCTGCAGTGCTCAGGGAAAGGGTGTCTTCTAGTTACTTCGGGGTTTTCTCTTTCAGGCATTTATTCTGGTCACAAAGAACCTCTCCGCATCAGCATCCGATTTCCACTTTATTCCTCCCGCTTGTGCCTTTTCTTTCTCAAAAAGGCCGTGTGTGAGACAGGAACACGTTCGTACTGGAATGCAGTTGTGGTAATGCTGCCCCCACAGGGGTGACGCTCTAAAGCTAAAGATGTTAAAGACCTATGCTTAAGAATGTATTTTGAGGGGCGCCTGGGTGGCTCAGTCGTTGGGCATCTGCCTTCGGCTCAGGTCATGATCCCAGTATCCTGGGATCGAGCCCCGCATCGGGCTCCCTGCTCCGTGGGAAGCCTGCTTCTCCCTCTCCCCCTCCCCCTGCTTGTGTTCCCTCTCTCGCTGTATCTATCTCTGTCAAATGAATAAATAAAATCTTTTTTTTTT